GAAAGATGCGACCGTTGAGCAGCCGTTAACGTACCTGTTGTTGTTTAAAGAGGCCAAATGTCGGTTGTCCAGAGCAGCAGGGACCGACGGGTAACTTCTTCTGCCGTCGACCGACTGCCTGGTGTCTGGTGTCTGGTGTCGGAGTGTCGGCCCTCCTCTCTACGGAGTATCTACTAAAGATGCTCGCCTGGATGGAGCTGATGCTGCCTTCAGCGACTGTCGGAAATGTCGCGATCACGCTGAGCATGTTGCATTTAAGGGGCGGACAGGCATGGACACCTATATCAACACGTGATGGTGGAAAAACTAATTTATTTATGTGACAGACTGTGTAATATGACTTAGTGTATGATGTTTTAATTTAATTCATTTACAAATTGCTCATCTTTTTTTTACACAGAAAAACGAAAAAGATTCTCTTCTTACACAGTCAATTTTATATTTGATACTGAGATAACCAATTATCCTTACACATTTTCAGCCCTGAAACTCCACAAAAGTCCAGTAGATTTTTCTGGGGCTTTCAACCACATATCAGGGCTTCCCTCAGCAGTTCATCATAAGGATTAAGTTACCCCACATGAGACGAGCTCCGTCCACTGAGGAAAAGCATGATGTGACTCCAACTCCACTGGCCGAGGAAACTCATAATGTGTGATTGAAAGCCCCTGGAAAAGCTAGTAAGTAGACCTTTAGTAAAGTTTTTTCTGCCAAATTACTGTTCCCAAGGTCAATGTTTCATGCTCTTTTTTTTCATGTTTAGCTTGTTTGAGAATAGTGACCATTTGGGTTTGTTTTATTACGATTATTTGATATTAGAGCAAATAACACAAATGTTTGCATTCAGATGGTGAAAGTATATAAAGCTCAATCTTTTTCAGCATTAGTGCAAGGTAAAAGAAACAGTAAAATGAAGACACCATTTTAACCAAGAAACTAAATAGACACACACATGAATTTAGGGTTTATTATTGTAACCATAACAATAAGGTGGATCTCTCTTTATTTTGACCATCACTTCAATCATAATTGTTCTTTTTATCACAGGCAATAGTTATAATAGTGCACTTTTTATATTTAAATTATGATACAGACATTTCTTTTTTTAAACACCTTATTCTACTGACCCTTATGAATGGAGAATAGTTTACAATCTTAGCCAGAGTTGGGTCAATGAAAGTGAAGGTGACTTGGTGATGAGAAAGATGAAACTGGTGATGGTGAGCAATCATAAAGTGTGTATGGACAGTGAGGCAAACAACTTTGTACAGTTTCTCTTGTGATGATGGCTACGCAACAGGTGAAGAGGCAGACAGACAGGTCAAGGGGACGAGACATAAAAGCAAGAGATGATGCAAATTAGCAAGCATTCGATGTGCGTGGGAGAAATGATGTGCCTGTTAGGGTTTGGTTATGTTAATTTAATATTCCTGGGTCAGTCAAAATCTCTGTTCGTAATCAGCTCAAAATGCACCTGCTGCGCGGCTCTCAGCTCGCTCTCACTCGGCCATTATCCACCCATTTCACACACACATTCCACTTTCCAGAGAAAAGCGTGATAAAAGCGACGTGCGATACAAACAAAGAGCATTGGAGAAGTAAGTATGAGAGCAACTAGTCTGCACTGCTATCGAAGTCGTTAATATGCGTGGAAAGAAGCATGCAAAAAAAGAGTGGTCGTGAGAAATAATATAGAACTGGTTTCTTAAATTAGCTCTTGATATATTTTCGTTGTCACAAAATGTAGTTATACGTGACACAAACAAGCATGTCACCAAATAAATAAATAAATAAAATATAAATAAATAAATAGATGGATGGTTAAGTTGACAAATAAAAAAAATAAAAAATAAAAAAATACCATTAAAATCCACAGAACTGTAGCATGTATCTCTCTGAAAACATTCTGCACTTTTGTTGCATATTGTGCTGTATGGAAGACTGGTGATGAACATCGACTGATAAGAGTGCTGGGTAATACATGACCGTCCGTTGCTACGTCTGCTTGCAGAATGGTGCGACTCTCAGTGATGGAGCGTGGGTGCAGTGATGGACTACTTGGCTTGTTGGTGAACACTGAAGTGAGGAGCATGGGGTTAGGGGACTCTTTGCTTGCTTCCCATTTTGAAGTCCTGTTTAACAAGGAATTGACATCAAAAGCCTTTTCAGTCCGGCATTATGAAAATGTCCACTGATGAATTTCCTTTGTGGGTTTTTTTTTATTTTTATTTTGTTGAGTCAGTAGGTGAATACTATGGCAATAGGAGACAAGCTCGACGAGAAAGGTGGCTTCTGTTTGATCCACAGGCCAGGCCTTCTCATTCAATCCGGGCACAAACAGCTGTGATGAGGTTCATGGATCTATTCACGCAGTGTTTTTTTTTTTTTCATATAGTAATGTTCATATTTCTGTTCAAATCAAAAATACTTTTCTTCAGAGCAACAAAGGTCCAATGCGAAAAATCTAAGATGCATTGTTTGGTATTGTCTCTGAGTAAAAAGAAAATACAAAAGAATCAAAACATTTAACTTTAAACGAATGCCTGCTTAAAAGCATCTGGTCAGCTTCCCCTCTCCGACACTGTAGAGTGTTTTCAGTTACCTTCTTTTACTGCTATCACTGTGCTACTGACATCCTCGAAAGAAACATGTAAACATAAATAAAAACTAAATAAAAAAATATTTTTCACATTCACTTACTTAGCTTACTTTGTTGGTTTTCTTTACCTCAGGAGAAGACACTGCTGGAGTTCCAGGATGTAGTTTCTCCTGAGAAAATCAGGACCTTGTGTTCTGCTTTGTCGCCACTCACTGACGTGGTAGCAGGTTGCTAACTCTTAGGGTTCGTCTGCTGAGATACATCTATATTTCTTTCAGTATGGACTGGTATTTGCATGTTGCTTGATAATGATATGAGCGCAGTGGTTCGTTTTAGGAGTAATCTTGAGAACCATCACAAGACTATTATTTCTTTTTGGTGTCAGATACGGTATTACAATGATATGGTAGACTAGCCTATCTGATCATGTCAGCATCCTTTAGCAGGCTGATTTGCTAACTGGCATGCACATTAGCACTTCAAAATTCCTAGTTTGATCTGTGAAGCTGTATCTATGATGGATACCAAACTGCTCATTCACATATTATTATTATTTTTTAATTAAAGGGTGATTCCTTAACACTTCTTTGTCATTTAAGGGTCGGAATCCTGGTGGTCCGAACGATCAAAAGAACGCTGAGTTGTAAAAAAAATAAAAAATAAAAACAGAAAAAAAAAAAGCATGATGGGGAAAAGGCTCAATCCTTGCACCTTCAATAACTTCAAGGAAGAATAGGAGTAGCTCATGGCTTGCAGGGATACTTGGAGATGAAGTTATACTGTCTTCCTTCCGTGGTAGTCCAGGCATCCTGCTGCGTGATCTTACTTTCTATCCTACGGTTGGGATTGGGTTCCATTGGAGGAAAGCAGTCGGGTTCTCTCTTTTGCCGAGCCTCTGCGCTGCAGAACTCCCCCGCTGCCTCCTATGCCTCCACCATCTGCTCGGTCGCCCCACTCACACCTGTCGCCCCCACCCTCGGAGCGCCTCGAGTTTTGGCGGGTGGGGGTCCCGTGGGGCCGGCCGTTCTTCTCATCTGGGAAGGGATCAGGAGAGAAGGACAGGAAAGTCACTCTTAATGTATACATGCTGTGGTGTCTTGCAGGTGTGATTAAAAATGTCCTTCAGACAGTTGTCCAAATGAGAAACAGTCAGAGGTGGCAACTACCATTCGGCTTTCGGCCACAGGAAGTGATGGGAGCCTATGACCTTTCAAAGGTACTCTTAGCAAAGGAAAAACAGTATTATTTGAACAGAAAACCAACATAGCCTGCATTAAATGATCCGTTGATCTGCTGCTTGCAAGAAATTAGAAACTACTTGAACAAACGTCATATAGCTCAACAGTCATGGAGCTACAGGTAGACTGGTTTTGGACAGACATTGCAGATAACAAAACCATTTACGTTTCCAGCACTAGGACAGAAGTATGGGTAATGTCGTTCATAACATAAAATTAAAGATAGAAAAAATTAAGTTTTCCTTTTTAAATGAAAAGAGAAGAAGAAAAAAATGCACATAAAAAAGGAAGTGGTCACATCGTTAAGTAAGTCTGCCGCTGTACGTACAGTACCTAGATGGATAAAGTCAAAGAGGGGAAATGTTAATTTACTCTGGCGTGTGCACAAGTGTGTATAAGCAGTCTTACCAGATAGGGCTTGCACCATGGGTTGATCATGGGAGCTGAGAAGCTGAGCTTGAATCGTTTCCACCACTCGTCTGAACCTGCGACTCGGACCTGGAGATGCACCAGGGCACACACGTAACTTACATGTAAAGTATCGCTACAACAATAATGATAGTCGTGCCAATATGATACTTGAGTTTCAGTGCCAAAACCACAAGTATACTATTTTTAGCCCACATTTTGCTGTGTTTATTGATATGTTTCACTGTTTTATCTGATCAAACATTAAGTGCAAACTTTCAGTACTTCAAACAGGGTTACAAGAGTGTTTTTTTAATTTAAAGGAGTAATTTTACATTTTAGGCAATATGCTGAATTCATTTTCTAGATAGAAGGATTAATACAACTCTCATATCTGTCCTTTAAATATAAGGCTACTGCTTATCTTAGCTTAGCATAAAGACCGGGAACAGGATGAAACAGCTAGTCTGGCTCTGTACAAAGGAAACATAATATACCTATCGAAAGTGATCCTCTCATATAACTCTCCACCAGGAAAGCAATTAAGCACATTTCCTAAAATACATGTTTTAAATAGGCACATCCAAAATGTTAATATTTATGAAGTATAATTCAATTCCCAATTGAAGGGGGTAAATGATCGCTCCACTTGCCTGATATGAGGGTGAATGTCACGCTGTAGATTCCTGTCTCCCTCCTGCCCTCCCTCTCGGTCCTCTCTCTGTCCCGCTCTCTCTCGCCCTCGGAGAAGGCAATGTCCACCTGGAACTTGACGGGCTTCTGGAAGACGGAGGGGCCGCCGGAGGATTTGTACTCGGCCCGGAAGCTGGTCTGGGAGAGGACGCTGTGACTGAGCGACGGGATCTGTGTGGTGGGGCGACAGAGAAGAAGCAGAGAGACCGACAGACTTACGAGGCGGGAGAGGTACGGGGCCAACGTGAGTATAGGGAGACAAAGGGTGAGGGTGAGGAGAAGAGAGAAAGAGTGAGCCATTGGTGAAAGCAACGTGATCCATCAACGTGCCACGAGTGAGCAAGACTGAAATAAAGAGAAAACGGAAATAATGAGAGAAATGAAGTGCGTACAGTATGAGAGTGTTTGTGACGTCCTTACAGCTTTGACAGTGAGAGCCATGCTTTCTACAAACGAGGGGTGTGAAAGATGGACCCGATCAGATACTCACAGACAGGAAGGCGTGGACAATGTCAGCTTTGACAGAACTCAGAGGTTTGTCTCGGATCACCACAAAGATCTGCTCCTCCTTCTCCAAGCCGATGAAGTTCCCAAACCACGACTTCTTAGCCAGCCTGGTAACCAGACAAAAAAAAAAAAACAACATGAGCAAGGCATAGAAAACATCTGAGAGAAACAAATATATTAACATTTTGTGAAAAAAAGTGAAACCTCAGCAATAATTTCTCTCTAAAAGAGTGTGACTTACTCAGGGCTGGATTCTGGTGTTAGACTGGACATGTCTTCTGATGTGGGAACTGAAAGAGACAAATCACTCTTAAAAATTAAATTTGAGTCCTAGATCTTTAGCTGGCAGCCAGAGAAAAAAGCTATAATCCATTGTCATTATAGAGGTCTGGACTACTGTATGCTGAAACAGAAGATTAATGTTTCACCAGTGTTAGAAAGGAGGGAACCCATTGAAACCGATGACCTACTTAAGGGTGTGTTCACACTCGCTTTTTTTCAGTTTGGTCAAATTAGACTTTGTTTTCCCTCTTGGTTTGATTTGTTTGGGCTTGTGTGAACACAGTAATCACACTGGTGGACCAAAACAACTGCACGGAGACCCTTGAGAGGAGGTGGTCTCAGTCCGGTCCCAAATGAACTCTGGAGTGGTTTGTTTGTGGTGAGAACCTAGATTCCGACCCAACTACCAGGTGTACTCTGCAAGTTTGAGCTAAACGCTTCTTGTAGCAAGGTGTGCTTTGCATTCTGGGATGTGCAGAGCATGCAAACTGTAGCAGCTTGCGTAGTAGTAGTAGTACTAGTAGTAGTAGTACCACCTTTCCAGAGAGTGAACCGAGGTGCTGCTGATGTACTAGTCCCGTATTTACTTTCTTGCTCCCGCCCCAGACACATCTGACCAATAACTACAAACTCATCAGCTGATTCAGACCAGAGCAAACAAACTATAGGTTTGGTTTCCCAGGGCAGATACCGGTGCATCAGTAAGAACGTGACACCAACTCACCTTGCAGTTTACGGCGATGGAACCGGGGTGAGCCCAGCAGGTTGTTCTTGAAAGAATTGAGGCGAGTCCTCCAGTGGGCAGAGCTGCTGGCCGCCATCCCGCTTCCCCCTCCTGGGCTGGAGGGCGGGGTCAGTGACAGCGAGCCCACCCCTCCCCCTCCCTCCGCCCGCGAGGAGGACGAGGACGAGGAAGAGGAGGGCGGGGTGGAGGAGGGGTGGTGAGGGTGGTGGACAGGGGTGCCCAAGGGTGTGGGCAACGGAGAGCCCTGGGGAGTGACCTGTGGCACAGAGTGGGCAGAGTTTGGGTAGAAGCTCTTAGTCACTGACTTTAGGACAGAGGACGAGGGGAAGAAGAAACGGGGGATGGGTGACAGGAGCGGAGAAGGAGAGGGTGAGCGGGAGGATGGGTTGTGCAGAGGCAGGGATTTGATGGGCTGCAGATGGGGTCGGTCGGCAGGTCCCTTGGTGGGCAGGGTCTGGGTCTTTGGGTTGGGGGGAGCTTTGGGCTTGTCATGAGCCCGTGCTGAGCGAGGAGTAGTGGTGCTTCCCTGTTTGGGCTCCTTTGTGAGGGGGGTAGCGGTGGCAGAGGTGACGTCTGATTGGCTGAAAGTGAAGACGGGGCTCTGATAGGACTGGGGAGTGGGTTTGTGGGGTGGGAGAGATGGAAAACAAGAGAGGGGATGGAACATGGAGAAAGGATGGAAATGAATATCATGCTTCATGATAAGAAAGAGTGCATCTTGTGAGTAGTGAAAGTTTTAAATGCAATACTAGCAGTGTTGACTATAAAAGTATTTCTTTTGTGCCATTTCTATCTTATGTGAGTGAGGGTTTAGTGACAGTTGTGGCAGTGACAGGGTTAAGAATGCAGTGACAAAGGACAGTGGCAGTGAAGGTGTCGCTATGCAGTAAGTCCTGGCTGTTAAGCTCAATTAATTTACTATCTATGGACTGTTTTATGGTTTTGAACAAGAGCTAAATTGAAAAAGCAAAGTACCCCATAAACCAAAATAGATCCTCTAATTTAAAGGTTCTACATTCATTTTCTTAACAACTGTGCATACAACTAGTTCATGCATGGTGAAAAAGAGAAGTGACATGAAGACAGAAGAGAAATGCCACGCAAACCTCCTGTTGGGTGAGAGATTTAATCGGAGGAACTGGAGTTGTGATGACTGAGGAGCTAGATAAATGGATATTTTAGGGGGTTGTGAAGTGTGGTTAACGTGGGGGTGAGCGATATCGACAAGAATAAAGTTGTGATAACCACAACTGTGAACCCCGATATGTTGATACGGAAAAGAGAGAGTAACTAGTAATAAGATATATTTCCCAGTCAAAGTTTAATGTCAGCACTACCCTAAAATCCCCAACTACAATTGGTTTACACCTTAACTGTCAACACAACATTCACTTTGGGCTGCAATGGAAATGCTAACCATGTTGACTCTGTTGGTTGGGAAACACTGCAGCACACATATTGAGGGTTGAGGCTTTAAATGATAGATTCACAGTCTCTCTTGAATACCCAGCGCCTGTATAAACACTGAAACAGGTTTTATTTACTGTAATCATTCCTCCTGGTCATACTGGCTATTAAGAGATTCCTTCCTCCCTCATTTAACTGTAGAGCTGCTAGGTTACAGGGGGGAGTTGTATAATACAGTATTTTGTAGAATGCATGCTTGTATCATGTTCAGTGACAGTGCAGGTAATCAAAGCAGCAATAGTTATGTGTGTATGATTTGTTAAAAGTTGGCCAACAGGCCCTTACCCTGGGACTGCTGAGAGGGCTCGAGGAAAGACCAGTTGATGCCCCACTGACTGAGCGAGACCTGACAGAGAGACCAGAGGTCAACAGATCATCAAAAAAAGAGTACAATCAATAAGAAACAGCGTGAGACTCAATACATTCTTGGTTTGCAATGTTTACTGTACATGTATAAGCATAATATACTGTACCTCTGGCTGTGTGCAGCTGTGTCCAGGGCCCTGCGAGGTGGGGTAGGAGACCCCTGTTCAGTAACACTCAGGACCTCCAGGCTTTTCCTCTCGGGGCGACAGCGGCCGTGGCGTGTCAGCATAGGAGAGTCAACGCGCTTTCGAGGAGGGTCTGCTGAAGATCACCAGCATAAAGTTACCACAGGATATTCCAACATCAGTTAGCAGTTTAAAGCTTATGCTGAAGCTGTATTTTTTTTTATAAAATCAGATGATACGTTGTGCAACTGCCATAAGAGCATGACCACTTCCCCATGGTATTGTTCCAGTGTTTCTCAAAATAAAAAGCACTTCTCTAATAAATCCTATTGCATTGTTAGTAAGAGATCTATTCACCGTTCCACTCCCTGTTGTCACTATGTATTTTCTCTTTTGCAGTTCTGAAATGTATGATTATGCCGAAAGTGATTTTTCGCTCACTGCACCATCTGTGACTGTGATAAACTTAGTTTCATTTGCACTGGCAAAATAGCTGCCCTCTCCCAGTTTTGTTTCACAGAGAAGTCTTGCAGATGTCCTGCGAAGTTTGGTTTGAACATTGTAAAAGACTTAAAACCATAAAATACCGTCGTTTCCCATTCTTTTCATGGACAAAACTAGAGAGGCTTTTTGTCAACAAAGCCAAACACAGCAAGAGAGCACTCAGGCACCAACGTATGTCTGTGCGTCTTCCATATCGCTTTATGTTTTGGTGGAGAACCGATCTGAGTTGAAATGAGTTTAAAACATAATCTCAAACATTCCAAAATGTATTTGCAGAGGTAATTAGTGCCTATGTATGGCACCAGACTCACAGTCTGTGGTACAACTGCTTCTGAGAAACTGAGGCTGAGAAAGGCAGCTTCCCTCTTTGAATGGATCCTTCCTGCCCCCTAATGACTGACCTACGTCATTGCGCGGAGGCAAGTCCTCGTCCTCATAGCTGGGGTAGCGCTCTTTCCTGTCCAGCAGTAGGTAATAGATCATCTTCTCCTGGTTTTCTCTGAGACAGACAGAGGGAAAGAAAAATGTGATGTTAAAATATGATTTGAGTAGGTAACCCTTTTAAGAAAACACAATAGATTGCCTTTCAACAAGGCTCTTTCTTAGAGAGTCAAAGGCTGATGACAGCCCATCTATTTATGGAAACACACATGGATTTCTATTTAACCGATGACGTGCTTATTCACTGTTCTCCGATAAGACATATATTTACTGGAACAGACTGGACTGGATTGTCACCAGACTGTGTACCTAAACATGTGGCCAGATGCTGTACTGACTCATTCTCACACTACTGTTTAAACTGTCATTTAAAGCCCTCAATACCACTTTGTTGTGAACCAGATTTTTTTCCTTTACTTTCAAGCTGACACCTGACTATTACTTTGATATTTTGTGCTAGATCATATTTTTTGGGCAGAAAATAAAAGCCACTTCTCACAGGCCTTATCCTTTGGAATTAGTCCCTGCATTTGGACACATAGCTTCAGTCTATCCACCATCTTGCATGCTTTAACCCTGTGACGAGTCAGTCAACCTGACTCAGAACAGGAGTTTCATGTGGCATGATGGAGAGGAAACCATGTCTCCTTTTCTACGGTGTCAGACAGCACTCAAAATGTCTGTCCACAATACACAAGGGTCAATAAAAATCAGATGCTCAAACTCATTAAGTATGACTGAGTAACCAGAATAACAGACTAGCTGCTGTGCACAATCCAATCCAATAGTCCTAAAATAAATACAACCAATGTTTTTAATTGTTGTTGACACTGTGAGATGTTTTTAATATGCAGCAATAACGCAGTTTTTTAATCATACCACACCACAGTCTCATATCTGTCCATTTTAAGTAGCCTTTTTATTTCATAGCATTTGAAAATATTTCTTTTTTCCTGGTCGCTTGGTGTGCAATCAGGCACAGAGAAATATAGTCATGTTCAGGGTTGAAAAAAGACTTACTCTTCACATTGCAAATCACGTGTAAGCTTGACTCGGTCTCGGAAACAACCCAGCGAGTGCATGCTGTCCAACACATCTGGGTCCAGCTCAGTCAGGGACAAGATTCGCCTCACACACACTCGCCTGGGAGGAGGCTGCTCAGGACACGGCTCATTACGACCACCCCTGGGAGCCACACACACGCACACGAGTGACACAGATATAATGTATATGATTAAAGATTATGCAACAACATATCAAATGAGTATTTCATTCAAGAGTCAAATATGTAAAAAATGAATGTATACTCACAGATACCAGGCGTGTTTCTGGATAACCTCTAGCTGTAAGGGGTGACAGGGCAGATGGGGCCATTAGTTTCTACAGTCTGTTTACAGCCAGATGGCCACAGAGCTGTGCTGTGTAAACAATTCACACCAGATACATTTTTACATGCACTAGAGACACCTCATCAGTTCTAAATATTGTATATTAAAATCACCATTTGCAACTTTACAGTGTTTATTGTTTTAGATAATATAACAGAACATTTATATCATATTTTAGTACAACAAAAAAACATCCTGGCATGAATGCACCTTAAAGACGAAACTTCAGTATTTTCAACCTGGACCTTATTTTCTCATGTTTTTAGGGCCGGGTGACTAATGGGGACAACAATTTGTGAAACTGTTCCAGTATTGAGCAAGAGAGCTGCAACCGGCAGCAACAATACCAGCTGCAACGTGATCCTTCCGGAAAATTGCGCACCATCAATGTACGTCCACTAAACGTGCTTGTTTTTGCCACTGACAGGCTTAGAACTGTCTGACAACATAATGAAAAAGACCCATCAGAGACAGACATTTTTGTTAAAGAGTAAGATCATTTTTGTCTAACCAGAAACAGCCATTATATTCTCTATTCGAAGCCACCAGATTCCATTGACAAAAACAGTCATTTTACTTTGCAGAACACGGGAGTTGCTGGTCTACTGCTGCCTTGATCTGTTTGTGTTGTTTTGTGACTGACTGAACTAACCATTTTAAACACCAAAGTCACACAATAACTCAAACAAACTTACCAATCTAGCCATCGATAGACCAGCAACTCACGTGCGATGCATCCACCCAAAGTAAATGATCATTAAAATACTAGAGTTCAGATCCAGCTAAGAGCAAAAGCAAAAACAAGCAGGCAAATCTACAAAGTTTTAAAATATCTAAAAAATATTAATATCGGAAGCTGGTCTTTTCAATTCAGGCAGGTAATCCCAATTCAATGTGAACAATTTAACACAGGTGTAAATCTGATTGAATTATCTCTGGATACGGTCTGCATATGAGACTTTAATTAAATCCAGGTGTTTAGGCGCCATTCAAACCCCCTGTGTGTGAGCCAGGTGTGAGCACAGTCTCATACCGTGAGCCTCTTCTCTGGGTTGACCTCAATCATGCCCTTGAGCAGGGACTGGCAGTCCGGGGGGATGAAGTGGGGCATGTGGAACACCCCACTCTTCACCTTCTCCAGGAGCTGGCGTAAATTGTCATGGTCAAAAGGCAGGGCTCCCTGGGTGCAGGTGTGATAAAAAACAGGTAAGTAAGCGAGAAGAAGAGGGTATTTACAAAGGAAGCAGACTGTAGTGTAAAAAACAGGTGTAAAAGACTTACCACCAGTAGAGCAAAGAGGATCACCCCACAGCTCCACACATCTGCTCTCCGCCCATCATATTTCTCCCCCTGCCAAAGACAGGAACCCCATGAATTCCCCACTGACTATTTGAAATCACAAATGAGCCGCATTAACTGATTAAATTCACTGAGGTATGTTAGCTCATTTAAAGGGCGAGACTACATAAAGTTGTTCAAAAGAAATCTCTGTCAAAAAGAAACACTTTAATCCATTATAATGCAGCACTTAATCAATCCAAAACCAACTTTTCATAGATAGAACTGGATAATCTTCTTGAACGCCGAGCGCCGTCAGGAATCACTTAAAAGCAACCTCCTTCTTAAAAGTCTATACTCCATTAAGCTTTTTAAAATATTATTTTAGAACTTTGAAACAATTTGTGATATCTTTGTGTTCGGCTCATGTGGATTTATAACTACGTATTTGTGAAATGAATAATTTATTTACATCATTGGCTCGTTTATGTTGCGGGTAGCAACTTTTGAGGAAGACGCGGTGCAAGAGCAGAACACTTACCCGTATAACTTCAGGGCAAGCGTAATGCGGTGATCTAAAATGGAAGAGAAATGTGTTACGAGCAACATTGCTATGCTTAAAATTCTGGAAGAATGGGCAGTATTATTAATAATAGTAAAATAATGAAAGCATGTAATCTGTAAATAGGGTCATCTACAACTGTTATTGTGATGTTTTTAGCTGCTGTAGCGATTACTGTACTCTTTATCGTGAAGAATGCGTTATGTAATATAAAAAGATTTACACTGCAAGTTCCCAAAATACAGAATATGACCTTTTTATTTACGTGGGTACACATTATTTAGGAACACACTCACAGAGCAGGTACTCACCCACAGCTGGTCTCTAACAGACTGTCTCCCACCTGTAGGGAGGCCATTCCAAAGTCAGCGATACGGATGTTGTTCTTTTCATCCAGGAGCAGGTTCTCGGGCTTCAGGTCTCTGTGACTGCACAAACACAAAATATTAGTCCTCCTGTGCTGGTTGAGAATAATGATTGCACATGTCAAGTGAGTATTAAAGAGGAATGATCTATTTAAGATACATCTGGCCGAATTGTTTCTTTTTTTTCAGGCCTCTAATGAGCTAGCTAGTAGAGGAACCCAGACCATCACCCCTACACATGACCCAAACCCCAATTTACAAACTAATCTACGCAAAAACCAACCAGATGGAATGACTGTGGCAGAAATCCAAAGCAGAGATGATCTGCCTGAAGAACTTCCTGGCTTCTTTCGGAGTCAACCGGCCCTTCTTCACCAGGTAGTCGAACAGCTCTCCTCCTGACACATGCTCCAATACGAGGTACCTGCGACATACGGGGACAATAGATTGATTTAAAATGTTCCTCTCTAAGACACAGGAGGGAGCGGGATAAAAGGAATAAATACAGAAAAGCAATAAATCAGACACTCTTAAAAACTGTTACACACCATCAGTTTATGATGTTGGATTCTTGGACATATTGAGATGAAATCCTGTAATTTATCTATTTTTTTTATGTACTCACTTTCAGCCAACCTGCCTATCTGCTCCAACCGCTGCTTTATAACAGCGTTAAAGCATTTTTGGGAGTATTTTCCCTCAAGATAGATCAAAAACTTTTTCTGAATTATTGTAGGCGATGAAGGAAAAGTGAGAATTAGAGTGATGAGAGCAGATTAATATAGTTCTTAGAGTAATATTTATACCCATCCCAGTCTAAAGTTCAGTAGTCAAAAAAAAAAAAAAAAGCATGCAGACAGCACTGAGCCCAGTTGTTCAGGCTCTTTTGAATGCAGAGGGAACTCACAGATATTTGTTATTCTCGTAAACATCATGCAGCTTCAACACATGCGGATGCTCAATCAGTTTCAGAATGGCAATCTCCCTCTCAACCTGGTCAGAGAGAAGAGGCAGATAAAAAGAAACAAAAGAGACAGAAAGAGGTGAATATACCAAAGCAGAGCACACAGGCCACTCAGTGTGATTTTGAAGCAACAGACGAGAGAGAGGTTAATTAATTAACCAATGCAGAAGTTAAATATAGAGAATATGGAGCAGTTTGTGTACAGCATAACACACCTGGCTAGATACAAAATTAGCATCATTGTCGTCACTGTGAGCTACAACCTCGACAGCGTCATACTGTACCTTCATCAGGACTGACTCAGACAGCTTCTCTCTGTTGACTATTTTGATGGCTACCTTCTGACCCGTAATACAGTGGACCCCGAGCTTGACCAGTCCTGATAGACAAGAATGAAAGAGACACACAGGCAAAACCATACTACGGTGTTTAATTCTACATTCAGTGGTGGTAGTTTTAAATCTCACATTTCAGTAAAGTTTTATTTTTGGTTTGTACTCAGTAACATTTGGTGTACTACTCACCTGTCTGTCCCTTCCCCAGTGTTTTTTCCAGTCGGTAGGGCCCAACATATTGAGCTGACTGACTTAGAGACAGTTCCTTACTCATACTGCTCTGACTGGAGGCTAATACACTACTACTACTTCTACTACTGCACTGTGGTTATTGCAATTACTGTGATATTATACAGCTTATACAGAAGTTACTGTGGGATACAAGATGGTGCTCAACTTAAGACGAAATTTTTTTTTTTGTATTTCAGCAATAACACTGCTACTCTGGAGTTACTGGGTGAATTTACAACATCTGGATGATAAATGAGGCTAATAAACAAAGGTTAATATCTTGCTCCGAAGCACGGTGAGCGTGTATAACGCTGATATTGAACAAAAACAGCTAGCTAGTGGTAGAGGAAAGCAGAGAAACTGAGATGACAATAAGTTACCAGGCTGTTTTTTTTTAACGCGTTAAATACTGACCACTGCCCTAAAGATAAACATGACAAGGTAGGAAAAACTAATGAGTTTTACTCCTGTACATTAGCTTATTTGTATAACTTGCACCGTGTTACATATATGACGATAACTACATATGACGACTAATAAGAAGAAAAAAAAAAATATCGCTAGTTATATAGCCTTAAAACAATCAAGTTGTTTTTTGTTTTTTGTTTTTCTCCCGCACCTCTGCTGCACAGATTTATGACATTCGCTGGTTGTTGACTCCGACCAACCCCCCCCCCC